CTCCTGACATGTGACTTCATAATTCTCTTGATTTAATAACTGCTGCCTTGAAGGAGAAATTTTGGCCAAGTTTGTGGAATGTGTTGGCTGTCTACCTTGTTTATCAAGAATGAAAACCTGGAATGGTTCTTCAGGTTTATTTTGGATGAAAGTTTAGTTTTAAGAAAAAAAGAGAGGCGACAGTGAAAGAAAAGACAAAAAAAAAAAAAAAGAGAAAAAGAAAAACCCAACATGAAATCTGTTATAGATCCTTTTTAATATCTATTCTCCACTCATCTGCTCCAAGTAATGCTCTGTCAGTGACCCAACCTTTGGCATTTAACTTGTTTTTGAAATCTGGAAAGGTTTCCTTTGTGTACTTGAATGACATTTTCATGACATTTTGTGCATCTCCTGGAAAAAAGAAAAACCAAATATTGATAAATTTAAAACTAGATTGGGAAATTGAAATGTCTTCGTTCTTCCCTGTAAGATTTAACATTTAATATCTCCTTTTAATTGTTAGGTGATAAGATGTTCAATGTAATTGCATCGGAAATTATGGCTCAGCACACATCCTTCAAATCTGAAATGAATGAATGTCTTGATCAGTGAATTCATTCAAAGAGAATAGTATTAAAATTCCAGATGCTATCTTATCTTCATAAGTGATTGCAACAAACTCAACGGTATCCTTACTGGGCCATAAATGTAATGTTAAACAGCATGTGCCAAATATTAATATTGTCCTTTCTCAATTATTATCAGAATTTAACTTGGCAGGTTCTAGTCTGGCACAAGAAATGAAAAGGCATGTTGCACCATCGCCCAACGACAGCGACTCAGAGATTGTCAGAGAGTTTGTTCACCTGGTTGCAGTCTTTGGAGATGTAACAAAAGCCATGATATACAACCCTACAAGCTTCCCCTGTAAATTGAGCAGCTGGGCACAGTAAAGCTCTGGATCAAGGGAAGGGTCATGAATGTTCCAGCATGACTCTGCTCCCTCCTGACATGTGACTTCATAATTCTCTTGATTTAATTGCTCCAAATTACTACAGTGGAGACGGCAATCAAGTGGCCTTGCACGACAAAAGGCTATCATTGCACAGGGCCTGATAAGGCATATGTAAAGACACATTGGAAGTGATGATGATTTGATATGCCACATATGTGACAAGAAATGCTGATTGATGGCTGGCTTAATGAGCCACTGTCGTTCACACAACCAATGAATGCAGTGTTGTGGAGGGGTGGGTTAACTGAAAGGCTGGATATGTCAGTGATGGTCATACTTGCTTTGTGAGTCAACAGCAACCTCCACATTATATATATATATATATATATATATACTCACACACACACATATATATATAATAGACCTTGCTATCCATAATGCACCATTGACCAGCATATATAAATAACCAGAAACACACCACACATGGCCTGAAGATTGCGTTCAAACATGAAACAGACTGTCACTGCTAGATGTTGATTGCAATGTCCACTTTTATATTTACATATGCTCTAACATTGAGCACTTTTATCCATAAATGTAACATACCTTAAAATTATATTATATATATATATATATATAGAGAGAGAGAGAGATCAGTATACAATGGTGACAGTTATTAGGAATTATGGGTAGTAATGTCAATTATTTCCAGTTTACTATATTATTCAAACAGCTATTGGATAGGTGGACACAGTTATATTTTAAATTGTTCTAATAATTATGAACCAGAATGTGGTTCTTTTGTGGGTATTATATATAGGGTTATTCAAAAAGAAAAAAACAGTTTTTGAAAATTTAATAACAAATACTCAGAGACAGAAAGACATTATTTGATAGGAAAATGTTCAAAGTTAGTAAAATAAATGAACATTTTTTTTCAATCTTGTTTGAATGTTTCTTTCTGTTGTGTGTGTTGTTTTTTGTTCAGATTTTGTATAACTAAATTGTTACAATTTGTGGGAAAGAGGATCTTGTTCATTGCCTGAGGTTTCCCAGGTCACCAGATCTTACCCCATGTGATTTTTATGTCGGGGTATATAAAAGAAACTGTTTATTCCACCTCTGCCTGCTACCCTTAAAGATTTAAGATATTGAATTTTTAACACCTTGATGTCAATATCCACATATCATGTGATTCAAGTGTAGAATATTGTTTCAATATTTGTTGCTCAACACAAGCTGCTCATGTTGAATGCATACAAGTTGAACTTTTAACCTTTTCCCATCCAGTAATGTGCTGAATGTGTGTCTGTCTCTCATAGCATTTGTTTTTATTCAATTTTCAAGCTTTGCTCTCTTTGTGAAGAACCCTGTATAGTATTCATGCTGTATGTGGCTTTGCATTCTCATGGGAGCACCATTTTTTCCTATTGAAAAATGCAAGGTACTTTTTGACCAAACTGATGAACACCTTGCTGCTGCTAAACATATAAATATACATTTATTGTTCCATTGCATTTTAAGAACTCTGCTTCAACACCCTCCCCCCAGACACACACACACATGCATTATTCCCTTTCTTTCATGGAGCTCAGCTTTCGGTACCAGTTGTGGAGATTTAGCCTTGCGAATTATCTGCCTTTTGCATTGGGTTTTTTTTTCTTTAACTGCCACATATGATTAGTAGTGAGGATGAAACATTTGTCATGACAACTGGTTCCCCAAAAATGGACCTACCTTAGAACTCAACCTATTTCTAAAGAATTAAAAATGTCTGATAAATAAATAAATTTATTATCACTTCAAGAGTTCTTATAGCAAATACAAGAATTTGAAAAAGAAATATTAAGACACCCCCACCTTATATTAAACAACTAAGAGTTGTCGTTTCAGCCACAAATTCAAGTCAAGACAAATACTCACTTTCTCTTGCAGCTTGGACTAATTTCTGAAGAAGGCTTGTCTTTTCCTTTAAAAAAAAAAAAATCAAAATAATTCAGTGAGGAACAAAATCCAGAAAATTTTTCGAATGAAAAAATCCACCTCTGATAAAAAAAAAGCCATCAAAATAAAAAAAAAAAGTCAAATTTGTTACAAGTCAATAATAGTGAAAACACTTGATTTCCAAATCAACAAGATGGCGTCAAACTAGTAACAAGTTTGCCATTCATCCAATTTCCAAAATTACTCATGAATTGATGTCAGAAACCCTATGAAGATTAATTTTTGATGGATTTTGTTTTTTATGGCTTGTCAACTCTTTGCAGGTTATTTAAAGTCAGAAAATATTTTTAGATAGTAAGATTTTTTTTTTTTTTTTGAGATAATGATTTTAGTGGTACAAGTCTTACGAATTAACCCAATGGTGGATCCGTACTCTTTCCCAAGGGTATTTGCACATAAGTGACAAATGGACAAACCCAACTGGAATTCTGCTCTCTGATTAAAAATTCTGAGCCATTGTCCATTACACCACCTGATATTCCCAAGTACCCATCTAAGTACCGACCAAGCTCAACATTGCTTAACTTCTGTGATCATACAGGAACGACTGTTTCAACGTGATGTGGCTGTAAGCCCTAAAACCCATGAAGAGACAAGAGTAAGAAGAAATTAATATACATTCCCAATACAAATATAAATCTACAGGTGCCTGGGCCTCCTTCATGTCTAAAAATATTTTTAGGGTACAAAGTCTGCTCTTCACTGAGTGTCCTACAATTATTGCTGTACATAAGGTAAATTAGTAAATGCCTGCTTTTCTCATTGAATACTTCTGAATGGTATCAGGGTTCAAGCTGAGATTAAAGCCAATGAAGGGGATTGTTGACTGAACTTATTTGCCATCAGTTTGTTTTTGTTAGCATGTTATTGTTTGCACTATCAAGAAAATAAAGAAAAAATGACTTTCCATATAGATTGTACAGTCAAAGAAGGTTGTAGAATGTATTGGTCAAAATATTGTGGCAACAACAAAAGCAATGCAAAAAATGAGACCAACAGGTTGAACAATCCTTAAAACGATAATGACACATTTCAAAGTTATAGAAAGCCAAAGAATGAATTGGTTGAAATGGTAACATAAAAAAAAAACAATGCAATGTAGCAGTTCAAGAAGTATTATGCTTGAAATAAAAATATTTTGTTGTTTCATTAACAATTTGTGGGAGAAAATCGCAATGTAGAAAATTGTGACAAGTTTTATCATGACGTTCTACAATCGTTCATTGCTCACTACACCTGTGATGACATCCAAGGTTGATTGTATTTGCAAATACACCCAATTCACTCTGTGCACAGGTTTGTCTTCTCATCCATGACTGCTTTCAACAAATAAAATGAAGACAATTGTTTTTCAAGACTCTGGTTGGGAAGTAGCAACAATACGATTTCTCACTTAGCCGGCCATCTTTCCCTTCAGCTGAACTGCTATCTCCCTTATTTCACTGGCCTCTGGGCTCGGTAACTCCTGATTCCTCGCTACCAGACCTTTTCTCACTGACCACCAGCAGCTCTAACTCCTCTGATCACCTAATACTCTATCATGACTGGACCCACATTTTCCTCCAACTTCCTGCCTCTCTCTGCTTATATGGAAAATCACTAGAGTCCTACCCCCTCTATCCACTTGTGTTCCAGAAGATTTGCGACCATCCCAAAGCCACATGGGTGGTCAAATCTTCAAAGGACTACTTTTATGAATATCTAAAATCATTTATAAAATGTTTGTTTCCCAATTCAAAGGTGAAATAGAGACATGAATCCTGAAACACTAAAACCCTAAGTTTACTCAAAGATGGACTTGGAGACAAAATTCCTATGAAACTCAGATAAGTGGATTTAAAAAGAAATTATCTCCTTATTGTCTAAAGATGTTTAAGAAATCATATTGTTACAAATTTTTAAAAAATTTTTTAAAATTTGGGGTCGTAATGACAAGAGTCATAAATGAGTCTCGCAAGTCCAAAGTCAGAAAATGCTTGGCAGAGTGGGTGGGTGTGTTACGGGGCATAAATCAAAAGGGATAAAAAAATATCTTTATCCTAAACTCACAACACCCAGCTGCCTTCATCACTCACAATCGTTCAAAGGAGCATTTTTTTATTGAGCTAAAAAGGTTGTGATTGGTCGAGACTTAGGAAAGCACAGACAATTACAATATTTTAAAGGCCAACTGAAGCTGTTCCGACCTTTTCTCAGTTTTTCAACAGAAAGCAGAGAACACAAATTCATTTTCCCCTTCGTCACCACGTAAACATTCACAAGTTGATAAACCACAATTTGCAAATGTGAATAATTTTTTTTTCTGTATTAAAACAAAAACTTGTGAGATATTGCAACCCATCATCATCATCAGTACTGTCATCTTGAAAGAAAGCAGGAGAACAGAAATTAAAATAAAAGCATTCACTCAATGAAAATTTGTATTTAAAAGAAACTGGTCTCATTGATCAACTTACAAGATTTTTCTCTGGGATGTTGCAATCCATTGCAGCATTTATGACTTCTGCTTGAAAACAGGCTTGTAACTCGTCATCAACAGTGCAACCAGTGCAGAGGAGGATGTGGATGTGATCTGCACAAGAGAACAAACACTGAGTGTAAATATGGTTATAACACAGTTTTGTGTTAAGCAAGAATGAACATGCAACTCAAACAATTATATAATACATTGATTTATTATTGATAAACAAACAGATATAAACATGGCCAGTGGAGTCCATGAGGAATACCTGACAGGCATATTGAATTCCTCCTTTTTTTGCCTGTTTTCTAGAGAGTTCTGATCTAGGGAATTAGTTACCTCCCTTGATTATTGATTGATTAGGACCTGCCGTCCTAACACATGAGAATCTCATTTTCTTAAAATTCAACAGACTTATATGTAACTTTTGTCAACTTTTTCAACACATGTTAAAATGGTATTAATATTATTTGCAATTATTTGAGTGACATTTTTTTTATTCATATAAATTCATAGCATCATTATTCAGTCATCAACATATTTTCCCAAGTGAAAGCTTGAAGGTAAAAGGTTTGGAGAATGTGGTACAGAAAAAATGCACCTGAACCACTTCTATTAACCGCACACGTTGCTTCTGTCCTAGAAACATGTGGATCTATAAATGGATGTGTAATGTAGCCATAGATTTATTAACACACACAGCATTGTTCAAAATCTGGTTTAGATTGTATGCTCTTGGGAAAGGCATGAAACTACTTTTCCCTGTCCTATTACCAGATATCTTAAAAAAAAAGAAAAACTTATCACTGGCATGTCACAGTGGTTGGCAGTGGGTGATAAATTCAACACTGGGGCAAACAACACAAACTTAGGAAGAAGTAATAAGAAATAGCTTTTTGTTTGATTTGGTTTGTTGTACGGCATATCAACCTCAGTGCCAACAAAATTTTTATTGCTGGTAATATTTTTTTTTTTTCAAAAATGTATTGCTGGTAATAATTTTCTTACAAAGTATTTCTGGTATTAAAACCTATTTTTACACTTACATAATGTTTTGACCCCAATTTGGGGGTTAACTATTTGCCCATAACTGGGTCCCTAACAGGTGCTACCACCCCGGGTCAGGGTGGACCTGGGAACACCAGCAATTAAGAGGTGGTTCCACACTCCTCAAAACCTCCTGATCAGAGGCCTTGGATGTAGTTTATCATCTTACCCAGGAGGTTAAGAAATACCTGTTACACCTATTGTTAACCTTGTCTAGATAAAAATTTAGTCAATGTTTAACCTTCTTACCTGCAAAAAAATAGTGTGTCTAAAGGACGTTTATTCCCTTGGCAACACTATTATGGTATACACTTTTGACTCCCTTGGCAATGTTTATTTTTAAAAAAGAGATGATCAGAATTTTAATAAACCCCCAAAATATCAAAGTGGATTTATACATTTTCTTTATTCTTGAGAATGACAACAAAGATGTTAAACACTATTTATTAGATTGTTTATTAACGAGAATAATTTTATACTTACAAGATTATAAAAATATATGACCTATATAATGAATGTTTTCATAGTTCTTTATAAAATGGTAAATAATAAATATTGCATTGTAATTGGTTTAAATATTTTGATAATTTTGTAATTTTTTAATAAATTTTTGAATAAAAATATCTCTTTATAAAAGCTAAATAATAAATATTGTATTTTACTTGGTTCCCATTTTTATAATTTTGTATTTTTATATTATTTTCTTCAATGGGAGTAGAGAGGTTCACCTATCGTCCGGTTCACACTCCTCTCCAGTCTTTTGAACAGGAGTAGAGGTTTATCCCTTGTTTCCTGTTGTGGAGAAATTGACTGTTGGTCAGGTGGAAAAGGAAGAGTTTCTTTAGCTTGTATTGTTGAAATATTTACTAAACAAAACGCTTGTTATTATCTTTACTAACTTTTTATAGTTACAGTAGTCATGTGACAGGATTACCATGTGATCCCTGAAGTTTTATAGAAGGAGAGGAAATCTGTCTCTCTTTTTTTAAGAATTACCTTCCATGTTACCAAGTTATGAGACTTTCTGCAGAAAAAGGCAAGGTAGGTGCTATTGCTTTTCATCCTCAATCTGACCAGTCTCTGTTTGTTTGGTGGGAGCATTTTCTCAACATTGTTTAGGATTGGGTTTCCATTTTTTTTTTTAATATTTTCTCATTCTCTTTCACTACCAGTAGCCCTCTTGCATCTTAGTGGAATTATTGCCATGCTTGGGGTGAAGTGATTAAAAAAAAAATAAACATTGTTGAGGGAGTCAAAAGTGTATATAGTAATAACATTGTCAAAGGAATAAACATCCTGTTGACACACCATTTTTTGCAGTCACAAAGGTTAAACTTGCCAAAATTTGAATGTGCAGATATATTTTTAAAATGTATCTGTCTATATTTCTGAGATGAGGTATTATGTACACTATTTACATTATTCAGACTATTGTCCTCATCTTTGTTGCCATATTTATTACATTTCAGCTGTTGTACACTCCAGCCTTCTTCAGGTGGTTGGAATGTCGAACTGAACCCTTTATTTCGCTCACTAGGGTAGACTGTTCTAGTTCCATGTGCCATGTATAATGGATGTCAGTTATCAGTTATCTCCTGTTAATTTTCCCCTCCAAGTTCTCTACAGCCTTAACCAGGTATTGAACTCACACTCTTTAGGTCCTGTCACTGGATCTAACCAACGCCTTTATCCACTGTGCCATGTGTCCTTGAATGCTTTCAAAGTTTGTACATACAAATTTTTTCTCTGGAATCCGTCTTTTTTATATTAAATATATCTAATCACAAACATACATCAATAAATGTGCAAGCTATATGAAAAAAAACATGAAAAATATTTATTTTTTTTTAGCATAATCTCTTTCCTTGTCAATGCACCTAACTCAATGCATCTCCATTAATCAAACAGACCAAGTATTATACAGTGAAATTTTCAGATCAAAATTCAGCTATGAACTACACAGTTGGGTATGGACTTACTGTTCCACCATCATAAGCTTTGTTTGATAATTAAAAAATCAAGTAATTAGAAAAGACCCCTAAAACTATCTGAAAATTGTAGAGATAAAGAAGCTATTGCATCTTTCTCCTTCTATCTGATAATGTTCAATTCCTTTTTCTTTTTAAAGTTGAGCTTTGAGGATTCATCTTACTATATTGCATATCACCTATTGACTTTCTTTATTATTGTCATTGACTTCACATTGGATGACCAACAATGACCATCCTATAAAATCCCTTAACATCAATTTGAATCAAGTTGAGGATTATAAATATCTAAGATCATTTGTCACCACCTTTTTGAAAGACTTCCAAACTAGGAAGGGTATGGGATGGTCTGCATAAGATCTGGACATCACAACTGGATAGAAAACTCAAGATCAAAACATTCAGACCTGCTGCTGAGCCAATTCTACTCTGGCTCAGAGACATGGACACTCTCTAAAGGCATGGACAAACGTCTGGATGGAACCTACACCAATCTTCTGATGAGAGATCAAAACCTCTCTTGGAAAGGCCATCTAACCATCCATCAAATCTACGGCAGACTTCCTAGTGTTTCCTCTCTCATACAAGTTTGTCAAGCACAGTTTGCTGGCCACTGCCACCATGCCAAGAATGAGGTTGTCTCCTCTCTCCTACTCTGGAAGCCTGCGTCAAACCTGACCAGGGGCTGAAAACTATCATTCCCTGATGTCATCTCAAGGGATGCAGGCATTGGTAGGCAGGACTTGGCGACAGCAATGAAGGACTGGGAGGTCTGTTGTAGTGTTGTGGGCTCCATGATCTCGACTGCATGATGATGATGATGATGATGAGTATAAGACAATTTCATGTATAGTGTGGTTCCTAAATTTTTTGACATGTACTTTAACCCCTCTAGAAAAAAAATTATCTATGTATAATGCAACTGGTCACCAAAAATGCATGATTTTAAACCACTTCAAAAAAAATTACCAGCATCCCCTTATTTTTTTACCTAAAGAAACTGGTCATAAAAACTTACACTATACTCAAGTGAAATGAAATCAACTTCTCATTGTTTTCTAGAAGGCATGAACACAACTTTCAATAGGCATTGACCCAGTTTGAAAGCATGGAAATATGAAACATGTCTCTGTTTATTTTAATTTTGGAATAAGTAAGAATTTAGTAAATTATCTTTCCCAATGGCACAAAAATACAAATTGAAATTAAGAAGAAAAAAGTGTAGGGGGGCCTGTTACCTTCATTGAGGTCAGCAGATGTTAAAAACTTTGATGAGCCATAGATTTTTTTCAAGGTGTTAAAATCCTCTTCACTGAAAGCAAAATAAAGGATTTATAAACATTGAGATTTCTACAATAATTGCATGAAAAAGAAGCAAAATATTCTCAGTGTTGATTTCAAAGAAAAGATTTGCTAAGAGAGCAGGGATTTGAATAGACAACAAATTCAGTACATCAACAAAAAAAGAGTATGACAAAGATATTTTCTGATTGGAGTAATTTAACAAATACAACTAGAGAGAATTAGTGGAGTTACCAAGATTCCTTATATTAAATGGCATGAGGTTAGTGACAGATTCAAAAGAAAACTTAACTTGTAAATAAGGTACCATTTTTTTTTTTTTTTTTTTTTACAATAATGTTTAGCCTGTAAAAGAGCCAGTCTAGGCAGAGGGTTACAGAGTAAGAAGTAAGAGGCACAGTTTATGTGGGGAAGATAATGGTTAACCCTAGACTTGAACATGTTAAGATTGTAGTGATTGGGAAAGTATCGGTTCGTGAGCTGCTTAAGTGGAACTTAGATTTCACCAATGGAATACAATGAGTGTGGCATAGAGAGTCTTAGCCGTGAAGGACAGAACTGGTGGAACTAAGGAATGTAGTTTGTCTGAACACTTTCCATAGAAATAGTGATAGAACAGCAAGAGGTTTGCAACATTTCATCTATGGGAAAGTGGTTGTAGGTGAAAAATATTTCATCACCCACACGGATGCAGAGATGCTTTTGGACTCTATCGAAACTGGAAAGTGAAGACTGGGCAGTCCCTGCCCATATATAGCAGCAGTACTCCATTTTAACCTGATCTCGCTCTTACAGTGGTGGAGGATAGCACAAGCAGTCAGGTACTTACTGGAGTGGTACAAGGGACCAACCATTTTTTTCAACATCATTAGTGATTTTTTTTTAATCAAGTCACCCCAAGAAAGGTGATAATGCCACTAAGATGCAAGAGAGTGGAAGTGAAAGAGAATGAAAAAACTTTAGAAGGTACTGGAAACCCAATCCTAAACAAGAAGCAAGGAATAAATCTCTACCCTTGTTCAAAAGACCAAGGAGGAGTTTGAACCGGACGATAGATGAACTTATCTACCCCTATTGAAAGAAAAAATAAATAAATGGATTACATGTACAAGTTTCACTTACAGTTAATCAAGACCAGATAAATATTTTGAATTATTGTTGTTTTGGGTATAGCTTGATGTTATATGTGGATTGGTGATGGTTTTTAGGTACAATTTCATATAAGTTTTTTTTTTTTTTTTTAGTTAGTTTAATGGGAATTTTTATGAGGTCTGAAGAGTGCTTTTCTTTTTTTTCAGTTTTCAAAATATATTAAAGGTTTTATGTAGTTTTGTTGGGAGATTTTAGTTTCATATTGATTTTTTCTGGCTACAGTTTTGAGTTCATGTCCTCATTCTTCCACCATTGTATAAACTGGTTTGTGCAATAGTTGAATTGTGGCAGGCAATGGAATAGTTTGGGTGGTTGTGACATATCCATTTATGTTAATTTGAAAATTTTAATTTAACCTTAAAGTCATGATTGTCACTCTCCACCATTTATTGAGTCTATTTAAATAAATCTCCATTTTACAAATATTTTTTTTATTTATTTTGTATTTTTTAAACATGGAATCTCAAAAAAGTACCAAAACATTTACTGGTTTGGTTTCTGCTTAATGGCCCATCAACAACTATAGGGTCATTTATGGTCAAATAAAGGTTTTTGAATAGTGGTTGTTTTAGACTGAGCTTGATGTTATATGTGGATCGGTGATAGTTCTGGGTACAAGTTCGTATAATTTTTTTCTTTTTAATCTATTATTAGATATGCCGGTTATTTTGTATTCAGTTTCAGATATAAGTATAAATGGTGGCTCCACTGAGAAAACATAGGAATATGTTGCCAATAGAAGTAGACCTACCTTTTAGCACTGCTTTCTTTTAGGGAAATTAGCAATGGAGTAAGGAGATATGTTTTCTTTTGTTGTCATTGATATAGTGACACAGAGACAGCAATTGATTTATGCCATTGAGCTCTGTCAGCCAGTTTCTCATATATTGATTTTTTTCTGGCTACACTTTTGAGTTCATGTCCTTATTCTTCTGCTATTGTATAAACTGGTCTGTGCAACTGTTGAATTGTGGCAGGCAATGAAATAGTTTGGGTGGTTGTACTCTATCCACTTATATTAATTTGAAAAGTTTAATTCAACCTGAAAGTCAGGATTGTCACTCTCCACCATTTATTGAGTACGACTTCACACTGACCAAAAAGTCTATTTAAATAAATCTCAATTTCACAAATTGTTTTTTTATTTATTTTGTATTTTTTAAATGTGGAATTTCAAAAATACCATGACATTTTCTGGTTTGGTTTCTACTTAACAACCCATCAACAACTATAGGGGTCATTTAAGACCAGATAAAAGTTTCGATTTGTAGTTGTTTTAGGTATAGTTTGATGTGGATCAGTGATAGTTTTGGGTACAGGTTAATTGGTGGCAGTTTCTTTTTTTTCTTTTTAATCAACCACCTGAATCCGTACAAAGATGATTAGCTATGGAAAGCAGATACTATATTTATAAATAAAAAGATAATAGATTTCAGTAACTGATTATCCAGAAAACTTTTGACACCAAGGAATATTGGGTCAAAAGAAGATAGATGGTTTGGTTTCTGCTTAACGGCCCATCAACAACTATAGAGGTCATTTATGGTCAGATAAAGGTTTTTGAATTGTGGTTGTTTTGGGCTGAACTTGATGTTATATATAGATTGGTAATAGTTTTGAGTACAAGTTCATATAATTTTTTCCTTTTTAATCAATTAGAGATGTTGGTTATTAGAGTTTGCATTGTTATTTTTAGTGTTCTTTTTCCTTTTTTTCCATTTTCAAAATATATTATGCATTTGTTTAAATAAGCTTGTGACATCACAGATTAGATAAACAGCTAGCATTTTAATAGCATAATTTGGGGAAGGATTTATGAATGCCATAAAGTAGACTTGAAACTGATTACTTACTCAGAGCAAGCATTCTTCAGAGAAGTACCAAGATGAATGGACATTTTCATGGAGGTTTCTGGAAAGAAAAAAAAAAAGAATCATTGTTCATCTGGAGTATACTTTCAGTTTAAGATATTGTTTGTTAAATATAGAATCCTCTATAGCCTCTTGTCTTCTATATGCCATGTCCCTTCAAGACATGGATGATCATGGCTCTCTACAACTTCCTATCCTTTGTAGCTCTTAGTAAATTTTGTCTTTTAACTCTCTCTCCTAATCTTGGTTCTACCAACCATTTATACAAGCCCATTAGGTAGGTTATTCACAGCTTTCCTCTGTCTCTCTTGCCTTTAATATGACTTGCCAGTGTCAAATTCTCCAAGCTTTCTTTTCTCATTATGTGCCCTAGAAATTTCAACTTCCTCTTTCTGATGTTAAATATAAGTGTCCTTTTTGTTTCTATTTTCTCTAAAACTTTATCATTGCTAACCTGTTTTTTTTTATTCTCAGAATCCTTCTGTAGACTCACATTTATGTTGTCTCCAGTTTTTTCTTTATCTGTGGGGGAGATTGTCCAGCATTCAATGTCATTCAAGAGGCTGATATTACACAACAGTAAAGTACAGTGGAACCTCAATTTAACAGACTAATGGTGGGGAGGGTCATCCATTAAAGCTGTTTGTTAATGTGAAACACTTTTTTCATGATTTAAAAAAAGCCAGTACAGTACAAAATCATTGTAAATAAATGTAAATATGTATGTGTATTTTATTTTAAAGTTACTATATACCTCTAAATAAAATTTGAAAAGTTTGAAAGTTAAATCTGGAGTGAGTTTGTTCTGGGATTGTTAATTTGAGGTTTTACTGTATTGTTTTCTTTGTTTTTAACAAGATTTTCCTGTTTCTTAATACTTTTTCTTAGCTTTTAGAAGGCATCTTTTGTTATCCCAATGTGCCTTCAGAGTTTGGTGTCATATTTTCCTTCCTAGATATTTCGTATCACTAGTTTGTAATTTGCATGTTGGGCTGTTCCTTTTGCTCACAACTATACATTTTGTCTTCTTACAATTGATGTTTAGTCCTTTCTTCTTGCTTTCTTTTACTACCTTATGTAGTATCCTCCCCAACACAGATACACCAGATAGGTAGCAATAGATAAAAAGAATAAAGAAAACAACAAATTTGGAAAATGGAGGTTTCTAATCTTAATTGATGTGAGGAATGAATTCTCTCAGTCCATCATGTGATTTCGTTTGGTTTGGTTAATGGCATATCAACTCCTTATGGGTCATTTAATGCCAAAATTTTATTCTCTTGTAAGCTTTGATAATTTTTTCTAATGTATTTTTATATTTTCAGGTTTTGACCCCAATTTGGTGGTTCAGTATTTGCCTATAGCTGGGGCCTTAACAGGTGCTACCACATGCTATTATCACTGCTCAGTTTTTTCTGGTTATGAATTTTGATTTTACAAAGACACTGATTTCCTGTCCTGCCATTGCTCCAGATCTCAAATAAGTAGTTCTTGCTTGGTTAGCAGTTCTGTCAACATGGCCTAGGCCAACTGTATCCCCTATATAACAGATTTATAGACTCAAATATAAACAAGCAATATTTAGTTATCCCCAAAACAGATAGATGTTAGATGTAAACACCCAATATTTACCCATCCCTGATGTCCTGGGTATAACAATAAACTACATCTGGCAGCAAGGCCTCTGATTGGGAGGTTTTGAGGAGTGTGGAACCACCTCTTAATTGCTGTTATTTCTAGGTCCACCCTAACCTATGGTTGTAGAACCTGTTAGGGTCTCAGCTATAGGCAAATAGTGAACCCCTAAAATGGGGTCAAAATATTACTAAAGTATAAAAATATATTTTTGTAGTAAGAATAAAAGCAATACATTTTCATATTAAAAAAAAAAAATTACCAGCAATACATTATTGGAAAAACAAGATAAAAAAAAAATTACCAAAGTTCTGAAGAAATTTAAATTTTGGCATTAAATGACCCATAAGGAGTTGATATGCCGTTAAACAAACCAGACCAAAACCTATTCGTGAAACAAGTAAATGCTTATAGATTCAAATATAAATAACTAATATTCATCTATTTCTGAAGAAAGTAAATGCTTATAATATCAAATACAATAATAAAAAAATGATTCTATAAGATCAGAAATAAGATATGAAAAAATGAACTATATAAAATACTAGCAGTAGAGCCGGCGTTGCCTGGGGATGTAACAGTAAGAGATAGATCAAGTATCAACCATCATAAAGACTGAAAAATAAAATTGACAAAGATTATTGTTTAAGGTTGACGGACATGCATGTCTTAATTATTTTTTTTTTGTTTTGTTTTTTTTTTTTTTTTTTATTGGTCAAACCCAAACTCAAACAAAAAACATTGTTTTCAATCGTTATGAGTCTATCGATTGAATAGAATTTTATTATAAACAATTGTCTTGTAAATGGAATTTTAAAAGCATTCTGAATGTAAAAAATAAAGAAAAAAAGTGTGCAAGACAATAAGAAACACTACCTGCCAAAAAAAAAAAAAAAAGTGAAGTTTTGTTGAAATCGGTTGAAAAAATGTAGGAAATCTGATCCCATATATAAATGAACACACACACACAAATAACCTGGGTTTTTATAATAAGTATGATATGAGTTGTCCCCCTTCCATTTCGCAAAAGCGATGCCTCTTAATTGTGTTTTCAAATTGATTTTGTGCAAAAACAATTGTGTTTTTCCAATTTTTGGCACTGTCAGAACCACCACAAGGTAATTTTACGTAGTCCTGTGAAGTTTTGTTGAAATCGGTTGAAAAATGTAGGAAATCCGATCCAATATATAAACGTACAGACACACACACACAACCTGGGTTTTATAATAAGTATGATAAAGACTATATAAAACTTATATAGTCTTCATATTTTATATAAAAGGAGGCATGGTGGAGTAATTGATAGTGGTTCAGATTGAGGAATCGGAGAGCAGAGTTTGAATTTCAGAGGCACACAAATGCATGCTGGGTTATTTTTCTTAGCCAATGAAATAAGCCAATTTGCAGTTTGATATGAGTTAGTCCAGATCTGCCTTGTCTAGAAGTCAGAACACTACATTCACTTGTCCAAACTTGCTTTTGTGTATCAACACCATTTCTTAGTTTGTGAATATTTTGCCTTCTTACTGTTAATTTGCCTTGCTTATATTGTTTGCTTTCTTGCTTTATTTCATTTTTGCCTTTGTTCCCTTTTCTTTTTATTGCAAACTTTGTTAATTCTGTTTGTTGGACAGTTCTGTTATTTATTTTGCATCTGACCATGGCTACTCATACCACAGCTGGACTTTCTAGCTGTAAATGACAGCTGGTTGAGAGAAACTATACTGAATTCAAAACCGGGGAGAAAACAACAAGAAACCACTCCACTATCTTTCCCAAGAAATCATTGCAATTCACAGGAATATTAAAGGAAAGGACTTTGTGAAGAGCCATGACTGTGTATTCTGAAAGAACATGGCATTTAAAGAAAAAAAAGTAGTTAAGTGTACTCTCAGTATAAATAAATAAAATGGAAAGTTGAAGCAATCAGAGACTTGGAAATTTTTTTCAGAATATTTTAAGCGATAGCGGGGATTAGTCACAAATTTAGTTTGGTTTGTTTTGTTTTACGGCATATCAACCTCAATGGGTTATTTAATGCTGACAAGTTTTTTATTGATGGTAATACATTTTTTCAAAAAATGTATTGATGGTAATATTTTTTTCCATAAATATATTGCTGGTAATATTTTTCTTTTTAAAAAATGTACTGCTGGTAATAATGTTTTGCAGGGAATAATTTTTTCTTCAAAAATGTATTGCTGGTAATAATTTTCCCCAAAAAATTATTGCTGTTATTAAAACCTATTTTTATACTGTCATAGTGTTTAACTATTTGTCCACAACTGGGACCCTGAGAGGTGCTACCACCCCAGGTCAGGGTGGACCTGGGAACACCAGCAATTAAGAGGTGGTTCCATGCTCCTTAAAACCTCCTGACTAAAAGCCTTGCCTGTCAGATGTAATTCATCATCATACCCAGGATGGATAACAAATTTAGTTTATTTGAACAAAGAATGTTATGTAAACATAAAAATGTAAAGAATGTTACTTGTCGAGATATAAAGAACATTATGCAAACAAACAGCAATTTATCTAAAGAGACTTAAAACACTTTTCTTTTGTATCAAAATGTTTACCACAAATAAATATCAACCTTACAAAGCATGTTTCTATTGACCTTCATTTTCGTTCCTTTTTTCACAGATCCTTGTGTATTGCTGTATATAGCCTTTCACAAGGCATGACCAATGTGAAAGTCTTGCAATTGTCAAGCACACCAAATTTTCTTTTCTCAGCATGATCTTTGAAATTATTCTTAAATTAATGAGGCTAAAGATAGCACATTACCTACCTAAAATATTATAATACTTTGATTTGTCAGGATTCTAATTAATTTTTAGAATTGAATGATTTATTGATTGATGGTCTGTTAAATGGCATATCAACATCCTTATTGGTCATTTAATTCCAAAATTAAATTTTCTTGTGAGCTTTGAATTAATAAAAATATATGTGTCATTCTGCTTTCACAGTTGAATACATGGTCAATGATACTCAGCTTTTGTGCAAATACATGTTTGTGTGGACATGATTATTAGAGGTGACGATGTGTGTTTTTTTATTTTGTTGAAGTTATATTTTGGAATAAAGCTTGATTTAAGAAATTGTCGGATATTAGATGGATTGATGTCATGAAAGTTTTTCATGTTGGTTGTTTGGTAGTATTTTAAATGGATTTGGATGAAGTTACTAAAATTTGTTAGTATGTGCAAATTTTTGGTAATTTTTTTTTTTTTAAAATGTATTGCTGGTATTTTTACTATAAAAATGTATTTTTAAACTTTCATAGTATTTTGTTCTTGTTTGGGGGTTCACTGTTTGGCCATAGCTGGGACATTAACAGGTACTACCTCCCCAGACCTGGGAACAACAGCAATTAAGAGGTGCTTCCACACTCGTCAAAACCACCTGATCAGAGGCCTTGTTGCCAGATGTAGTTTAATGATTTTAATTTGAATGAAGTTTTAGAATTGAAAGATTTATAATTTGAATGAAGTTTTAGAATCTGTATCAAAACAGATCTACAATTCTAAATGATCATTTTCTTAAAATTGAAATTTCTTCTAAAAAGTTTCCACGAAAATGATTAGGGGGGGGATAAGAGCAGGGAGTTTCATTTTTGTTTTTCCTAAATAAGTACGAGGTATGAATATTACAGACCCAAAGGTAGCTAAACTGGTGACCCCAACAACAGGTCAGATATTACTTAATAGTAGGTGACATACTATATTAAAATTGAAAAATAACACTATTATTAATTTTCGATATTATTCATTTATTGGCCATTGTTAGGTGGTTCTACAAGCTAAGATTATTAAGTAAGCAAGAGGGTTCAGAAAAGAAAATAAACTCTTAGAAGATACAAATTTGGAGACATTGATTAATGAAAGACCCAATTTCACAATTCTTATAGGTCATTTTCTTAGAATTGGATTTTTGTCTTGGAAGTTTCCATGAAAATAAATAAGTGGTGGGATTGGAATAAAAGCAAGGTGGTGGTGTTTTTTTTTTAATTCCAAAAGGATTACTAAGCAGGGAGGTGGTTGGTGAACAATTATTACAGACCCAAGAGAATAGAAATAGGCAAGTCTTCTCTACCCAGAAATCATTACATCTTAAAACATCACAGAAGAGAAAAAAAAATTTTGACTTGAAGAATTTATAAGACAATAACTTACTAAAAATAACAGGTTCTTGGTAATTAGCCTCTTGAACAGATAAAGCCTGTGTAGATTTTAAAAATTCTTTCACCAGAATAGACAGACGAGCTTGGTTGAGAGTTTCCATGACCACAGATGTCACAGCCATGTAGTTAGAGATTAGATGAAGGAATGTAAAGGCAGCAAACAAGAATAAGATGAGACTGAAACAAGAAGAGGAAGACATAATTAAGTGAGAACTCAAAAAATGATTTGTTACTCTGATTGCAGATTCACATTTACAGACAAAGCTAACAGTAGCTATGCATTCAGCCTATAATCAAAGTGTAGTATCTGTTATTCACCTCTATGCCATGTTTCTGTCTTCAGGCAGTTCACAGAAATGTTTTGAGGGATAACTCTTCCTGGGGATTCCAACTTTGTGGCAGTATTCCGCCATTGCATAAAAGAGAAAGGCTTTGTTGATACCAACACCAGTGTGACTGTGCTTGCGGAGACAGGACAATTTTTGGGCTTCACCCAAATGTAGCGTATGGGCTTCCCACATTAACAACAGCCTTATGTTACATCCTGCAACCATGGAGTGGGGGAGTGATACATACAGAATCAGAGTGTAATATCTGTGAACATTGTTACCCACAAACTATATATATATATATATATATATATATATATATATAAAAAGTGCGTAGGTATGCAGAAAATAGAAAAAGAATACGTTAAATGCACAATCCGGGGTTCCTTAGTATTTTTTTGTTTTTATTTTAAGAAGACAGTGCTCCATACAGAAGTAGAGCTTTATTATAATAATATTTTTGTTTAAAAATATGATTCCTTCGCTACATAAGAGTTCTCATGTTTCAAAAACGAGAGCCAAATATATATACACACACACAGACATTAGATAGAATCAGCATCAGCTATCTCAAGTTTACAGCCAGACAAATAGTATAAAACCAAAAAATTGAAAAGATTAAAATCCACACTCTGATTATATTTTGAACATCGATGCCATAAATAGTGTTCATATTTCAGATGCAATTACAACGTGCAATTCTCCACGTGGTCCACATTGCATTTTTTAGTGGTCCACAGAGAATTCGTAGCTATAAAAAAATTGTAGCCATTTCACAAAAATGTATCTAAATTATTCATAATTTGAATAATTAAAAAATATAATATTTTGTTTAATTTCACACATGACCATTATATTTGAAAATTTCCAAATTACGTAGGTACTATGCAGAACTATATTTATTTTATTTTTTAGCAAGCATCATTTCTTTCCATACCACATGGATGGCGAAATCTGGATTTTCAATTGTTGTGGATGTTTTCAGTAGAAAAAGAAACAAATTAGATCTCAACAGCAGAGAAACTTTTAGACTAAAACTGAATGACATCATCAAAATTGATTATATCTTGTGTCAGAAACACCACAGATCAAGGTAGTCACTAGCTGAATGCATTAAGACTGTATGTCATCAAAATTGATTTTTATATCCTATGTTTATCCTTGTTTACTAAAATAAATTTTAAAGTGTAAATAGACTACTTTGTCTTTTCATTGAGTATTTTAGTGTGAAAATTGAACAGCCTAAAAGTAAATGTAGGAATGGTCCATTTGAATTTTTTTGAAGAAAAAATGGTCCATGGGCTGAAAAAGTTTGATAATTCTGAATGACTCCAGTGTCATGCATGGCATCCATATAAAAGTCTTGATCTGACAAGGCTATTCAAGAACATTATTTCAGTTTTTAAGTTAATGTTTTGTTTTGCTTTGTGGCATATCAACTTCAAAGGGTTATTTAATGCCAAAAAGATTTTTTTTTGTATAGTTTGGTTTGTTTTTGTTTTACTCAATGGGTTATTTAATGCCAACAAGATTTTTATTTCCAGTAATATTTTTCTGCAAATGTATTGCTGGTAATAATTTTTCCTTCATAAAAGTATTGCTGGTAAAAAAAAATTTTTTCTCAAAAATGTATTTCTGGTAATAATTTTTCCCTCTGCTGGTATTAAAACCCATTTTTACACCTCCACAGCGTTTTGAACCCAACTATTTGCCCATAGCTGGGATCCAAACAGGTGCTAACACCCCGAGTCAGGGTGGACCTGTGAACACCAGCAATTAAGAGGTGGTCCCACACTCCTCAAAACCTCCTGATCAGAGGCCTTGCTGTTGGATGTAGAAGATGGAGATGCAGTTTAACGTCTTACCTGGGACACAGATGCAGTTTAACATCTTACCTGGGACACAGATGCAGTTTAACGTCCCAGGATGGTAATGTTTTGGTTTTGTAGCAATTTGTGGTGGTGGGTAAAACTATACCTGTTCAATTTCCTTATCGCCTATACTAAATTTGTTATAACGTTTAAAGTTAAGTTATTTGAAGTGTTTAACATTTTTTTTCATCCCACATTCTATATTTTTATGATGGATTCAGGGTACGCGCAATGAATATTTTAATTCCAATTCCAGATCATAGTTCCTGTTTTGGAAATATTAATCTCGAGCCTTATTTCAAAGATGAACTCAGAAGAATTAATTGATATATTCTCAAGCATGAACTGCAAAACAAAAATAATTGTGTGAATTGAATAAAAGATTTCAAAATTCCCATGTTGCAAACTACAACTGGAACTAGAAGACTAAAACATTGTGATTACAACAACCAAGAAACTAGTCCAACTAAATGAGTACATAATCACTAAGGATTATTTATTCATAATACAAGCAACTTACGGTTGATTTCCAGTGATGAGGGGTGTCATTGCTAGACTAAACAATAGAGCAGTCACATTAACAAGTGTTTCCTGAAAATACAAAAAAGTATTTTGTTAAAACATACAATGGAAAGTGTTAGAATAAAATACCATAATCCCTCATGTATAATACGCCTTCATCTATAATATGCACACTGAAAATTGTGCTGAAAGTGTGGAAAAATGCTTCTACTCACACATAATACACACCCCTTGTTCAGTAATCAAACACTATAAATTGTACCTCTCCAATTTTATTACGGCCAGCGTTTCCTACTCATATTAAAAAAAAATTGTTTTAAACATAGATTAATATTATTCTAATTTAGTTTTATAATAATTCTTATTTTATTTTACGGCAATTTTTTAAAGATTTTTTTGTAGCTGTGCATAATATGCACCCCTGATTTTGATTATTATTATTTAGAAAAAAATGCATATTATACATGGGAAATTACGGTAGTTTTATAAAAAGTATGATACTCAGGTATTTTGGTATTATTGTAAAAATGGATGGATATTAAATACTAAATTAAATGCCAAAGTCAGAACTTAAGATTAAAAATCAAGATTCAAGACAAATCTGAGAATGAAGATCTTCAGATTCCAAATTCTTCAACTTCACCAAAATTATATGTTAAGACTGGCAAGAAAATTCTCAAGTATTAAAAAATAATTCCAAGCCTCAAATGTTCGGGACCTCTTTAATTCAAGTTTTATACAGAGTGCCTTATTTGATATATAATACCTACCACCAATTTATATTTAATATTGGTGTATTAAGGAGGTCAGGCATCTCAATCATGCAGTCCATGAGCTGCATCTGGCCTGCAGACTATCTTTCAGTGGCCTCTGGGGAACCATTTACATAACCTATATTTTCCTCAAATTTTAATAAGAAATTTGTCCCTTGCTCCTTCCATACTTTTGACCTACCCACCATAGAGACAGTCAATCAATGTTTAAGTCAGCAAGATCTGTTTTAGTTCCACTCCCAGTAAAGGAAGAAAACATGACCTCACCTACCACTATGTATTCTTCATCAACTACCTGACAAGAGGGAATAAAATGTACTTTCTGACAATGTCTTGGTTCCTTTTTTAATTTTATAAGAAATAAATTTGACAACTCATATTAGGGAACAAGCTGAGGGAGAAAAAGTGAATTCCTACCTTTCCCCAAGACTATTTGCATGTAAGTGAATATAACAAACCAACAGGAATTAGAACTCAGATCTCCAATTAACAATTCTGAGCCATTATCCATTACACAACCTGTATATCCAAACTTACAGTGCCTGGTATTCCTAAGCAATCACCCATCTAGTTACTGACCAGGCTCAACATTGCTTAACTTTGGTGATTATATGAGAACCAGTGTTTCAACATGATGTGGCCATAAGCCTTTGTAAAAACAAATTTATCATATCAAATAAAGCTAACCATCTACGAAAAATTTTTGTCCCCCACTCCTTCTATCTGTGAATGTCATGCAAACTAATTTTAATGTGCCCCTACCAGATACTCGCTACTGCATTGTTGATTCCCTCCCCACTGATAATACTGAAGCAAGACACCTTCTTCTAGCCTGGACCACCACTTCCTCAACATAACCTTTTGTGTCCTGGAGTGTGAGATCTCTTCGTTAGACACAAGTAGTCTATGGTATTTCAGTAAATATGAATATACCAAACTTCTCAACTTCAAATACAAGACCTGTGAAATATTTACTGAGGAAACAAAAACAAGTTACGAACAAAATAAAAATAAATTACAATACTACTCAGAATTAGTAACCAACCTAAAAATAGTCTCTCACGGAAGACAAATTTCCTTTTGTCTTTGATGTTAATAGGTAATAATAGTATCCCGTTAACAGGGGATCTGTCGGCCAGGCAGCACCTCACCCATAACCCTAAGAAGCTTAGAGTCAAGACTACATCTTAATATTCACAGCAAAGGATAAGGAATCCAGATATTTTTGTCAAAAAAACTATATAAAAGTCATTGTTATCGTTTGCATCAGTCATCTTATATCATAAACTCTGTAAGCCATTAGGTTGTAAGGGCACCATTGTACTGAAGCTATACCAGCAGTGGTGTGTCTAGGGAAAATGAACCTGTAAGAGACTATTCCTCTTTAGACTGTGTTGCAAACATGGTACAAAAATATTACAGGGAGTTATATAAACACCCACTCGAGAGAGTAGTTGGGTAGTTTCCTAGACATCACAGGCAAGAATGGGTATATAGTCTAGCCTATTTCATTTAGCTTCTTCTATATTTTGTCTGGAAGAGTCATATTCTGTTATATGCAAAGAGATTACTGTAAACTGAATTTTGTCTATCAAAGGTACTGATTTTCAAAGGTGTATATCTGCTTACAAGTTTCAAGTATCCCTTCAGTCTATGTGCTATGCGTGATACATGCTTAGGTGATCATTTATCTTTTGATACATGACTGACGAGGCAGATTTTTTCCCACAGTAGGTTGCCACTTCTTTCTACAGTACACCAGTTGCCATCTATGGCTATAGAACCCAGTCTGTCCTGCTATTTACCCATAGCTGGGGGGAGAAGAAGATTCATACCTTTCCTAAGGGTATTAGCACTTAAGTGAATGTAATGAATTCAAATGGAATTCAAACTCGGCTCTCCGATACCTCAATCTGAGTGACTATCCACTACTCCGCCATTACAATAATATAAATTCACTGAGTTTCCCTAAAGTGCTGTATGATACAATTGAAATAAATAATGCATTAAACTTAATAAAAAAAGATATTTTTAAGGTTGTAGGAAATAAATTTTATAGAGCAAGCAATGTGCACTGATACATGTACATATGAATATTTTGTGGTAAAGGGGCCCCCACCACCACCACCTATTTTCCTTACAATATTCCCCTTTATGAGAGTAGCTCCCACTTTAAAATTGTATCCCCCATGCCAGTTGGTCTCTGTTCCAGCCTGATTTAACTAGGAAAAGTTCAAATGCTTTATTTTACTGAACAGTAATAATATTTGCTTTCACTAAGTCGTGATTCACACTAAAAGTTCAGATGTACATTTGAAAATGTTTTGCTCTGTAAAGGTGTGACAAGTCATCTACAAATCAACCATTTGTCTTTGCATTGGATACTGTTGCTATATATGGTCTTCCCTCTGTCTTTTCTACAAATATTTTCATGGCATCTGCTCTGATGAGCAATTTTCCCTGGTGCACCAACTTCATGAATTTAAGTGTGCTACTGGGTTGGCATCTCAGCCTCACCCTTTTACTGTCAAAACAGTTAAATGTAACTGCCTCTTCTACTCCAACAGCTTCTTCTCTTGCACTTCCTGACAGTGGAACTCCCTTCTTCTGATGAATATAATCTTCAAAAATCAACATCTGATGCCTTGATCCCTGTTCTTCTTTTTATCCTTTTCTCTTACTTTCACTCTCAGTAACCTCTTGTGTGCTAGTGGCAATTCCACCTTGCTTGGGGTGAAATACTTAAAAAAAAAAAAATTACCCACTTACCTGGCTGCCATCTTTCACTGCAACATCAGCCATATTGTTTTTTCGTGCTTGATGTTGTGACAGAGCTGCCCGTGTTGAACCTCCAGCTACACCAACAATGGACTGAAAAAGAGAAAGTTATCTTCATTCCTCCTGTGTAGATTTATTTATGCATTTATTTGATATGTTAATGTCTAATTGCTATAACTTCAAAATAGTAAAATCAAGAAGCTTTTCCTGATGTTCAAAATTACAGACACTACATAATAATTCCAAGCAAAGAAGTAAAACCAACCAGAAAAGCAAGATCAAATTTACTGTATTTGCTAACTGAACACTCCTCTGTGGCCAAATCAGTTAAAGGCACGTCAAGCTAAATGACGGTTCCATATAGGATACAGGTTTGAATCCTGTCAGAGGACGAATATTTTCTGTGAAAATTTCTCGGACATTCAAGCAGCCGGTGAATGTTGTTTAATACTATTTATTATAGACAGAGCAGTTACTTAAATATTTGTATCTATAAAAAGAATGTATAAACATAAGTGGGCATGTAGATATGTACAAGTATCCAAAAAAAGGCTTTAATATATGTATATGTCTGGGTGAGTGTGTATGTATGTATATGGGTGTACAAGTTTTGTCATGGTATGACAATAAACAAAAGTAAAATAAAACAAATGATGAGTTAATTTTCATTTAATTTAACCAAAATAGGTAGTAAGAGAAACAGAAGTAATGTCCAGGGCGATTTTGATTAAAATATTAATATATATGAATATATAAGCAAAAGAGCAGAATTTAAAATAATACTTTTAAGGCTGAAAAGAAATACATAAATATACATGATCTTTTGATATTAGTCAAATGAAGGCAAAACAAAAGGGAGATATGCATAGATATATGATAAAATGTTTAATGGTGAATATGTGTCCAAAATGTTCTTCATTACCAGGACCTGAAAATACGACCTCTCTGCCAAGATTTTGTTTATTGAATGGCCTTTCTAGGCACATATTTTTGGAGGGAAAATTTTTTCTACATATACCAATGTATGTATGTGTGGAGATGTGTACAGGTCAAGGTGGGTAGGGAAAAAAGAGAAGGGGTTGAGGTCTAAGTTGAAGTATGGTGATTAGTACTAAAAACAAGGAGATTATTTTAGAAGAACATGATGTTTTTATGGTTTTATTAGCTGTTCCTAATCACCAAGTGGTTAAGTTCTACTTTCCATGAAGACAGACTGACACCACCAGATATCTGTTCTGGTCACTATGGGAAAAAGGGCCACCTATTCGTAACAGTATATGCACAAAAACAATCTAGTTTTGGTGGACTGATTTAAAATCCAACACACAAAAAATGGCTCTGATACTGATATATATTTGGTTGGATAGATGTGAGTTTGTGACCCTGGGTTTCACGCTTTAGCAATCGTCAGACAAACTCAAATATGTTAGCTCTATCTCTGATATTGAGCGCTTTCTAATAAGTACACACATAAATATATAAATAACTATACATATATATATCTATTTATATTTATATTGCACTTTTCTGTATATATATATATATATATATATTTCAATTTATATATATATAATATATATAGTTATATATATAAAATATAAAATAATATATATAATTCTGTGATTGACAAATAAAATATCTGTATATATATATATATATATATATATATATATATATATATATTGTATATATATATCATGTTATATATATATATATATATATATATATATATAAATATATTTATATATAAGTCAATATATATATATTTATATATATATATATATATATATGTAAACTATATATATATATATATATATATAATATATATATTATATATATATTCATATAGTATATACCTATAATATCCACCTAAATATGCTAATTTAATAAATAATGTACTGAAGCATATATTATGTATATGTATGCTATATATTTTTATATTTCTTTAAAATATCATTTTTTTTTAAATCTACATATAATATATTTATTTAAATCTGTATATATATAACTCTATATATATATGGTATATATATATATATAATATATATATATTATACATATATAAATAATATGGGACCATAATGTATATATATATATATATACAATATATAAAACAAACAAGAGACACTCTTTTGAATCTTTGAGGTGATAAGGTAATCAAATTTAATTTGATTCATGATCCCCACTTACCCTCAGAAATCCCAAGGCATTTTTCTTCATATACAGTTTTGTCTTTCTTTCATTCTAACCTGAGGAAACCAAAGAAAGCAGACACTCTCAGCAAAATACGTCATTTATAAATTTTCCATTTTGTCTCATCATCTTCACTTTTCTTTCAGATACAATTATACATCCTTCAAACACACAAACTTTTCTATTAATACTTTGACTGCTGTATTGTTATCACATTGTTACCTGGCTGTGCTGCCCATTTTTATAAAAATTTACTTAAAGTAAACAAGTACAAAAACGCTGATGGTTATTTCTTATGTGTGCCTCTATTTTGAGTGGATATTCTGCAGTAAAAACTAAGCTAAATGATTGATTGATTTTTACAGCTTATCAACCTTTTGCAGATAACTTAAAGCCAGAAAATATTTTTGGATAGTAATAATTTTTTTTTTTAAATAATAATGATTTATTGATACAAGTACTAATTAACCCATATCTGGGGGTGGGAAAAGAGGTAGGTTCCTGAATATTGTGAATATAACAAACCTGACTAGAATTGGAACTCGGCTTTCTGATTTCCAATTGAGTGGACTATTTAACTAGTACCAGTTCTCCATGTTTTTTATGAGTAAACCATTCTATTTAAGTAGTATCAAGTTTCTTTATTCCTTAGTAGTCAATCTATTTAAGTCAAATGTCAATCGCTATCTACTGTCCACTTGATTACTCTCTTCTCTTTCTGCTCATGATTAATGTTTCTGCTCCTAATTTTTCCACACTTTGTAACCCGTTGTATTATTATTACTGCCTTGCTTGAAGTGATTCCAATTAAAAAAAAGTACCAAGTTTCCATGATTTTTATGAGTGGACCAGTCTATTTAAGTTGTACCAATTTTCCCTATATGAGTGGACCAGTCTAATTATGTAGTGTCACTGGTCTTAAACAAAGCTTGAGAATAAAATTTTAATAGAAAGATGATTACCTGTGTCTTCATGTTTAATACAATATTAACTATAACATAAAGTCTTACCTTACATAAGCCAGCAATACAAATTATGAGTGTGAAAAATCCAGGAATTATGGGAGCAACTATTTCAAGGAAAATTGCAAAGTCATTCAATATGTCTGCCATGAACCTACAAATATTAGCAACAAAAAAAGAAAAAATATCCATTTAATAAAACAAAAGGGAATTGTTTTAAAAAAAAATGAAGAGTCAATTTCAAGAAGTATAACATTATAAATTTGAATAAAATCAGAGTATATTTACCGACATCGCTTTGCATTGCAATCTAGATTTGTCCTGAAAGGGGGGAAAAAAAAAAGAATACAGTAGTCAAGTAAATACATCTATACAACTAGATGGAATAAAAACTATACATATTGTTAATCCTCATTCATAGATGCCTGTGGCATTGAACAATATGGATTCTAGGACTAAACAATCTATATATTATTATGCTTTCCCAAAGGCATTTGTGTGAAAGTGATGGCAACAGACAATCCCAGGATTTGAACTTGGCTTTCCAATTCTACTTACTGCAGTAATAAGAGTAACACCACTCATACATCCAAACATAGTCTGTCATAAAGTTACAAATGCAGAATCTTCAATAAAAACTGTGCATATATATGTATGCATATATAAATATATTAACCATATTTTACAGTATGTAATATTGGACTATAATTTAGCAAGAAATATTTAAGATAAATATTCAACAGTTGATTTATCCATACTTATATATCTCTATCTATAAAAGGCAGGATGTGTGTCTGTGTGTAATGAATGCACGGCTGCAATTTTCGATGGATTTGCACCAAAATTTACATGCACATGCTCCAAGTTAGCGGGAAGGCCAAAACCACCTTTGCATTTCCCAAACCCCATCGATAGTGGAAATAATCGATTTTTTCATGCTTCTACGGCAGTTTTCATGTAGTTTGCGGCCATTTTGTACTGGCCTGAGTGAGAGCCAATAGCTGGCTGCCACGAATAGGCAGGAAGATTCTATTGGCCAGCATGAGAGCCAACAGCTGACTGGCATGAATGTTAACTAGCATGCTAGCATGCAAAAAAATCAATAGCTGCATTCGTCACAAGTGGGAAAAATTTAAATCTGCATGGCACTTTACTCCAATTGGCTCATTCACTTGCTTAAACTCAATGTTGATTCTGATTCCACAGAACTGTGTTGGGTGTGAAAAAGTATTTGTTGTTAACATTCTTTTTTCATTCGGTTTTTCCAGTTCCTTTTTTAAAGCTGATCGTTTTGTGTTCATTTTGTTTAGTTCTTTTTTCATAACAGATTTAATGTTCAGTATAGAGCTTCGAAAAACTTCGCAGTGTGAGATAGGCAAGAAGTAAGGCATGTAGCAACATAAAGGCAAGGAAGGGCAAAAATATTTTAAGTCATGTGGTAGTGATTGCTGTATGAGTCGTATGATTTTTGAATCAAGCACGGGCAATGCTGAGCCCTGCTGCTAGTCAATCATATATATCATGGCTGAGTGGTTAGAATTCTAACCATGAGACCTGGGTTCAAATACCACCATGATCAATTCATCAAGGAAGTCACTTCTTGATATCAACCTGGGGAGATAATCACAGTGTTGTGTGGCATTATTGGGAAATATATGAAAATAATACAATAGCTTGATCCAAGCCTTGTGAGTGAAATTGGGTGGATTGAACTGTTTGGAAGTCATCAGTGGTTGCGCTAGCACTAAGTTATAAGTCATTATGACCAATGGTTTAAGTGTGACACTATTTGTTACTGGTAATCATAAGAAGGTTTTCTTTGAATAGAAGGAACGATAGACTGACAGACTCCTGATAAATAAGAAGGGTTAATGAATAAAACCCATGGAAAAATTGAAGATTTTAATTCTCATGCAGACAGCCATCTGAATTGTGTGTTGGGGTTTTCAACAATGAAACACATAGGGCGACATCAGCATACTGGCCTTGTTCAATTACTGATTATGCACTACCTCCCAGAAACTACAAGGACACCTCAGCTTAGTTTCGGGTTGGATCTCTAGGTGTTAATCAAACACAAAATGTGCCTTAGAGCAACAGAGATTTATCTAGCCATCCTAACAGACATGTGTACTGAGAAATGATCAGGATTGTTGTTGTTATTTTGGTATTGCCCGTTGACGTAATCAAAGGAAATTCTGTTCTTGAGGCACGGTGTCAACAAGACTCCTCACAACTCAAGAACATTTGGAGAAAGAAACCAACTTCCAAGAGAAACCCCGGCTCACAGTCCTCAATTTGGGAAAACCCAAGATTCACCATTTCTAGTTTGCAGAATATTTCCCCGCTTGGGATATAATAGATGAATTCAGTCTGTTTTAATCTGGAGTCCTAAACATGGCTTCTCCAGAAACACAGAAAAACCTCTATATTATATGTAAGACCCTATCTTTTTGTTCTCATTTCACTCTGCTTGACTATGTTTTGTCTATGACTATGTGAGATATTATTCTCTGTGTGGAACACTTGTAAATGCATATATACAAGGTTTGTCTGAAAAGTGACGGGAATGGTGTCACAAGCAATTTATTTCAATTCCAAACAACAAACTCCATGGTTTCACCTTCAAAGTAACCCCACTCAAGTCTAATGGACTTTTCTATCCTTTTCTGCCACGCTTCTATGTACTGCTAGAAGGATTCTTCTTGGATGCCCCTCAGCTCCATCATTATGGCCCTCTTGATGACATCCACACTTTTAAAAAGGGTCCCTTTGATGATTCCCTTAATCTTGAGAAAAGAAAGATGTCACACAGAGCAAGAGCAGGTGAATAGGGAGATTGTTCCACTATGGTGATGTTCTTCTTGGCCAGGAACTGCTTGATGTTCAGTGCATTGTGAGCTTGTGCATTGTGGTGAAGCAATCACGATTTGTCTGGTCACAACTCTTGTCTCTTCTTGTGCACTGAGCAAAGCAAACACTGCAGGATCTCTTTGTAGACTTGCTGATTGATTGCCTGGCCCTGTGACAAGAACTCACTGCAAATGATGCCTTTCACATCAAAGAAAAAAACCAGTCACATTACTTTTCAGACAGATAGTGTAGTGTATGTCTTAGTGGTATAAAAGTCTCTGAGAATAAAGTGTGTTTTTCATTCCTTTTTCTTTCAGCCATTCTGTTCTAGCCGTGAAGTACAATGTTATTATATCACAGATATAATAATACTCATAATGGGGGAAATACAAATGGAATAAATCTTTGTTCTCATAGCTCTCTCTCCCATTGCCACTAAGATGTTAGGGGTTAGTAGGAGTGAAAGAAAATAAGATGCTAGTGAGGAGATAAGACAATAAAAGAATAGGATGAGGGAATAAGGAAACATGGTGACTGATGTTGCATTTAAATTTTTGAAGGTTGTAGATGGCATGGTAGCAAGAAACTGGAAGCGAGTTCCAGAGCAGAGAAGTGTGAGAAAAGAAACTACTAGAATAAAAGTTAGTTGCATCTAGCTTTTTTCAATGGTGTCCACTTTGAGAGCTTCTCATTTACAAAGTATGTCAGATACAGCATCCTAATTAGTTTTCCGGTCATTCATGCCCTAATACAGACTATTTCTATGGAGCAACCATATTTACCCCAGTTATAGGAATATCAGTATCAGTGTTTGAAAATTGCCCAATTTTTTTTTAACATACTTATAATCGCCTATTTTCATGACATCAACAAACAAGTTAGACAGTTTCAGAAAATTTTTATATTTTTGCCACATATTCTTACATGTCTGTAGAAGAAAGGAACACCTGTGAATTTTCCCAGATTTTTTTTTGAGAGGGTCACCTGTGACTATTGGTTGATTTGAAATAGAATGATCCAGTTCCTATCTCTATGCAAAGGCAAATCATGTGCATGTGTGCCAAAATTGTGAAATAGAAACTGAAAATAAATTACCCCTGCATCCAGGCAAAAATAATTCGTCCCAGCATTCCTGTGCCATCTACAAATAAAAAGAGCAAAATGGTTTCTTTATCTACTTGTTGAGTAGATAGTTCTTTTTTTGTTGTTGTTTTATTAAAAAAAAAAAGACATTTTAAACACCAGATCCACCAAAAAGCATTATTTCCTTTCATCAATGTAACATTTTACTCACAAGCTAGTGGTGGGCAAACTTTTCAGAGCAAGGACCACATCAGTGGGCCCTGAAAAGTCAAAGGGCTGCACCTTTTAAAATTGGGTGGTGCACTCTAAGATAATACAACATATAGACAGCATGATTAATAAAAACAAACAAATTCATAATCCAGCACAAGCAATTTAATGGAAAAAATGTTTCTAATCACAATTCTGCTTTACTATTATTTTAAAGTCTGGCACAAGGTTGCTGGTAGAAATTCTCAGCACTGCATTTAAGTTTGTGTCTGAGATCATGGAACTGTTCTTGGACTTATTTATCTTGATGCAGGAAACACTCTGCTCACAAATGTAATTGGAACCAAAACTAGAGAATAATCTGGCAGCAAAATTTCTTATGGAAAGCATTGGACAAAGGGTGATTTGTAAAACTCACCTAATGGTAGGGAGTGAAACATTTCCTTCAATGAATGATTAGATTGAATGTCTATCAATTCAAGCTGTAATTCATCAGGTGCTGCATCAATGTCAGCAGAGAAAAAGGAGAAGTTAATAAGTTGAATTTAAGCTCAATCTGTTTGAAATCCTCAAACCTTTCTAACTCTTCAGTTAAACTTTTCAACTGATCTTTAATTTTGCAGCACACTTTGCAGACAATTTCTCCTTTCCCAACAATAAAAAATGAATGAATTTGCTCTCACTCACTTGCCTTGAAAACAAAGATAATTTTGCTTGAAAAGATTTGACATGCTCATACATTTCATAAACCAAAAGTTCCTTTCCCTGTAATTTCACATTTAGCTCATTCAACTTTTCAAAAACATTAGCTGCTAACATAAGTTCATATTTCCATTCATCACAGTTCATTTTTGTAAAAAATTCACAAGCAAGCCCTTTCATATCGAGAAAGAGTCGAATTTCTTTTTGTAAGTCCAACACTTACTTTTCAGCACTTTGCCAAGACTGAGTCATTATACATTTTTTGTGGTAGAGAACATCCCCTTGCTCAGCCTCCATGCTCTCCAGTAAGGATTTGAATTGTCTTTGATTGAGTACTCCTGCCCTGATGGTGTTTACTATACTCACCACTGGATTTACCACATGCTTCAGGTTAAGTCCAGATCTACACAAATTTTCTTGGAGCAAAATGCAGTGGAAAGACAAAAAGGCTTGGTTAAGAGTGTCTTTTCTAATTTTGTCTTCCAGGAGTTTAACCATGCCCACATTTTTCCCCACATAATGCCCTGGCACCATCTGTCGTTATGCTTGTCAATCTACACCATTGACTACACATTCATATAAATCTTGACCAGTTGTATTTTTAATCAATTCTAGTGACAGCAATTCTTCAATGATATGGAAATTCTTATCCACTCCACATATGAAAATTAGTAACTGTGCAGTATCTTGGATGTCGGTACTCTCATCTAGTGGTAACAAATAATATACAAAATCTTTACTGACATCCCTCAGCTGTTGAGTCAACTCCTCACTGATTATTTCTATGTGTCGCATGACAGTTCTTGATAATGAAATGTTTTTGAATTTACCTTTAATTTCCATGCATACAACACTTGTACAATCCATCATGCATTGTTTTATTAACTCACCATCTGAGAATGGTTTGTTATATCTTGAAATTCAGTAAGCCACCATAAAACTTGCCTCTCACATAGTATTGTGAATTGATGATTGCTTCTTAAATAGAGCTTGTTGCTTGCTCAATTTTGCAACATATTCCACAGTCTTTTTTTTCCATTCTTCATTGGTCATGTTGCAACCAAAATCCCCATATTTTGTTTGGTAGTGCCTCTTCAAATTGTACTTCTTTAACACAGCAATCATTTCCTGGCACAGTAAACACACCACTTTATTCTTAGAACTGGTGAAGAAATACTTGTGTATCCATTCTTCATTAAATGCAAAGCACCCATCCTGAATTTTACATTTTTAGGAGGCATTGTTTGTAGGGTTGGAGAGATTGTGTTGTTGTGCAGATGACTATCAACAATAACTGAGCATGCGCAATGTCATACTCATGTGCAGAATGTATGTAACCATAGGAAAATGGGGTGTAGATTTCTACAACACTGAAAAAGTCATCCTCGGTTCAAGCACAAACATGTTGACTTTCACAATTTTTTTTTTTTTTTCTAATTTGCTGCAGGCTTCTGCTGGCCACACAAAAACCTGTTTGCCTACCCCTACTTTTAGCCATAGTTCTCGTTTACTGGGACAAGATTCACTGATTATACAGCCATTAAATTTACCTTATTCTTAAGGGTTCAGAAAAGTACCATGTTTCCAGCTATTTTATACACTCTGAAATTGATGAACATACATACTCAGTAATGAAACGCAAGTGTGTTATATTGGTAAACAGGGAATATAGAATAAAGGATTATGAGTAAAGTCAGGTTGGTTTAATTTAATGACATTTACACTATTTACATTTTTGGGCTGTTATACTCTCCAGTCTTCATCAAGTGCATGTCAATTTGGGTAACCTACAAAGAATTCCGACCTGAACCATTTAATCTATGTGGCTAGACTGTTCTCATTCTACTGTCCATGGATATATGGAATTTAAAGGTTGCGTGTTCCCATGTAAACAATTAAAGAAGCAATGGGTATCTACTATGGACTGTTCTCTTTTTTCCTTATATAAAATGTAGTGAAACAAAGTTCTCAATCTCTCTTGGGTATATCATTTTTCTTTTTTTGTTTCAGAAGTTAGGGCAAGTAAGGATAAGCATCGTTATAATGGTTGAGCTCAAGCCAGTTTTGTGCAGAGTTGGAAAGACCAAAGAAAAGTTTGTACTCACTTCGTCATTGGAGGGTTTAAGCATGGTTATAATGGTTGAGCTCAAGACAGCTTTGTGCTAAGTTGGAACAACCAAAGAAAAGGTTGATTTACTTCAAGAAAAGGTTTTGGAAGACAAGTGCGAACACCTTGCTTTGAAAAGTGGAAAGATTGTTTCCCTGGTCCACTGATGACTGAACTAAGGTGCCCCAGCAGGGACATTTTTTTCCACATCCTGCTACATCTTGGAGAAAAGAGGAGAGGAAAGAAATGTTTGTCTTTTTTAAATAGCACCATGTAATAAAATTTCTGGTTCTTTTACTCTTAGCATGATGGGAAAATGTATTTTTTCTTTTTTATTATTCATTAATATTATTTTTTTTACTTATTAATTTTATTTAATTTTCCCACACATATCTATGGATATCTTGTCTAATTCTTATTTTTAGTACTTCTCAGTTATTGCTCATCCTGTTTCCACTGAACCAAGTACACATGGCCCAAGGATTGAACTCACAATTACTATGTCACCAAATTCACAAACCAATGCTTTGATCCTCTAGGCTATTATCTTGTGGGACAATCCTGAGTGTAGAACTTGGAGCCTTAAACCTAACCTGCATTCTGATAAGTGCTGCTGCCTCTTGACATATTTGACTGCAATTACTGGTGCTTTTCTTATTTGTTACAGCAGCTGCAACTGTTGAAGACTTGCTATCATTTGTCTGTATTAATGGCTCATATATTGTATTTATTTCTATGCTGGGTCTACTAAGGAGGTCCTCATATAGATGTCTAACTCTTCAATGTTCTTCCTTGTCCAATATTTTCACTCCATTCAACAGGAGCTGATATCTACCTGTGATTGGTTAGTTAATGTCAAATACATGTCCTATACAACTAAAAACTACAATAGATTACTGAAAAGGGAGACATAAATTTGACTCGCATCACAGTTAAAATGGTAGACATTGGTCATGTTTATACCCGCGTTTGCAAGTATCCACAAATGGAAAGGGAAAGGGCTTTACTTATCTGCAAGAGATGCAGTGAGTGTATTGTAGACCTCTGTTGATAAGGCAGGGATCATGAGTAAGCTTTTTGTGAAATAGGCAGGGCCAAGTTATCCTTTAGGCTAATATAGGCTGCAGCTTTGGTTCCAGGGTCAGGTTTTCCTTTAGGCTAATATAGGCTGTAGCCTAGGCACCCACTTCCAGATTTTATAAAGTAATGGTTTTAATTTTCTAAATGTTATAACTTCTAAAATGTTTCATAAACTGAAATGAAATTGTTTTCTTGTTATAATGCTAGTTATAAAACATCTGTTTTTTTTTATTATGGTTTTGTTGAAATATGTGCCAATTTGTTTTTCAATAAATAGTAAAATAGTGGTATTTCTTAAAGGATACTTTTATTGACAAACAAAACATAGCTATTCTAGCTAATTTATAGAATTTGAAATAAGTTTACTTAAAGCCATGTAAATGTTGCTAAAATATATCATGAGTAAAAAATATTCAAGACAGGTGCGAGCAAGTTAAAGGGTAGCTCTGTATAGCATTATTTCATTAGCCTAGGATCCCCAAAATTTCAAAATTCGGCCCTGGGAACAGGATAACATTGACGAAAGGGATACAATAAATCTAATGACTGTATTCATTGTTTACATATTTCTGTGAATAATTCAAAACATGAAGATGGGTCATGATAGGAATCAATCTTGTTGTTCAAAAATGAATGGGAGTCGGATCAGCTTCATGATACTGAAGACATGTTCTGAAGTGCTTGAACATGAGGACAATAGAATAGCCAGTTTTCTAGTATTTGAGAATGTTGACTTGTCTGAACACTGTGTCTGATATTGCTTTAGCCATAAATTACAAGAGAAATTAGAAGTCTGGAAATACATATGCTATCATTTCTAGAAGCTGGCTCCAACTTGCAAATGATTTAGTCTTTTGTACCAAATAAGAGTGCCATCTAGAAAAGTCATACATAGACTTATAAATAGCCATGTTTTTTGTTAGGGCAATAACAAGATTAACCTTGCAC